TATTTGTGCTTCGGCCTTCTCTAAATAATCATGACCTTTTTACTCGGATTCGAGTTCAGATCGCTTTTTTTCGTATGACCTAACATTGATCACACTATTACTTCCAGAGGCACAGGTTAAGGTGATGAATATCTTTCTATGAAACAAAATGTCAAGTCAATGAATTCGATTAAAAAGCAAATAAAATGTAAGGTTTGTCAGTTGAGTCCTATCAGTATAAGATAGCTAACAAGTTACAATAATTCTTCTAAAATGTAACTCTGGGGCACGATTTATTGAACAAGAGACGTGCTTACTGCTGCATAAATCTTATTGGGCCGGTGAATAGTTGACTACAGCGTCTTACGTCTTTCAACACTTACCTACGATTCGCCCTCCCCTTACTAGAACACCACTCCATATGTGCCAACATAAATAAAAATTAATTCAATGATTAGAATACATGGCAGATTTGTTTGAATATTAAGTGTTTTCCAATCATTTGGTTAACGCGTTCTAACAAACTGGTCCACAGTATCCTATTCCATGTTCAATATGACGATCATTTTGGCTGGGAACTCGAGATAAACCCTTTTTATTGATCCTTCAAATAAAGTATTGAAGAAATTTACTATAGCGTAATTGGTAAGTTGAAAAAATCTTATTAAACGAAGATCGTGCAAAATTGTAATTGTTTAAAAGTCTTACAATTCTGGAAATTGGCTTAAAAGTCTTACCCTTTTTCTTTGCTTTTCATTAAAGAACATTTCAACGACCTTGAATAATACATCAAACAGCTTCGGTTCTTTGTACAAGATGATGCCCTTTAAACGAACCGGGTAGCCTTCCTGACAATAGGAGGGATTGCAGGTTGAAAACAATAGAACAAAATCAATTTTAATACCTTTTTATAGGCCACCCTCTTTACAAGTTCCCCTCATTATTAGGCTTACCATGCAATCAAAATTATTCTCCACAAGAGGGTTGAGGCAAAGGGCTTCGCAAATTCCATTATTTTTATAGACGTTTGGGGCCTTAATTTTATTTTTTAGTTCAATACAATTGTGTATTATTCCGTAAAGTATGGTTTCTTGTTCTGATGATGTGTGCCACATAACAGATGAAAACTTGGCTTAACTTCATCGAGGTTAGAGAGTGGTGATCCGAGGACTTCACGCACAATCTTTCCGAGGAAATCCTTTCTCGAGTTTCGGTGAGACCAATTCACAAATTGCCTCCAACCATCTTTACCATTAAAATAAAAGGTAGAGTCACTCATTTTACGACTTTGTCTTGCACCACTAACGAGAAAGTATTTATGAAGCCAAGCAGTGCTTTCCGTTAAATAGTTTATTTTTCAGTATCAGACGGCTGCCCTTCTCCTAAAAGGCCAGAGCTCCCTAAGATGTAGTGCGGTGAGGCCAGGTTTAAGGGGAGTTAATTCTATTATTCTGACGACCCTACAGCCTTTCTTAAAACTACCCCTAAAATTTCTGACAACTTAGAAGTAAAGAAGAGTTGAAGGAATATTGTCCAATTTAGTGAGGGTGACAATTTTTAAATAAAAAGTAAAATTTAGCACATTATCTGCCTGGTCATCCGTAAACATCCCCTGAGGAGGATAAATATGATGCTGCATTGGTTGTCATGGCTCCACTACGAGGGTCACGGTGGGGTCCGGTCGAAATAGGCTTTGCAAAACTCAATGTTATCGTGAGGCCCTCAACTGCGTGTATTTTCGCACTAAATTCTTTTGATAGTCACATACTTTCTTCATCTTACATATGATTACCTAAAGTGCTTGCAGATGAATGAATTCATATAAAGCTTGACATTGAAATGTTGCCCAAACTAATTTGTGGGATGCCAAGTCAAGATCAGAAAATTAGATTATCAGATCAGGTAGGGCTGCAACTGTCCCGCACTATTGGCCTGATGATTAGTAAAGTTGATCTAGGAATTGTTTCTCGACCTGATGATGCCTGTCACAGTTGGACAGACTATAGTTCAGCAAGTATCTACTGGGCTCGCTGGACCGCTTGCTGAGGGCTTGACGCACAATCTAACAGTGCCAATTTCGAGAAAGTCCTCCAGCGTTTTTTGATGAGGCTCGTTCCACTCAAATTTTTGTACAAGCATTAAAGGTCAAATGGCATTACATTATCAGGAGATTCTTCAAACCAAGCATTGCACATTGTACAAGACGACTTAAGGCCAGAAAATGCAATACAGGATACTGTCCTGGTCGCATTGACTAAACCAAAACTCATTTATGGAAACTAGGTTAGTCCATATATTTTTATATTATGTCTCGTTATAACATATTATTGTCAATTTATTTTTGACTAGTAGCTACCTTGCATGTGCCTTAGCTCTTTAGTGTGAGTAGTCATCCCCAAATGGCAAAATGTCATCAGGAGTCAGATTTTCCAAATGGCGGACAAAGCGACAGGTTTTTTATTCTTTCAGGGCTACGCTAAGCATGAGCTGTCGTCTAAAACCCCGGCAATTTGGGAGTCAACGTCTCGGGTTAGCGCATGATTTTTGATGGCGGAAAGTAATCAAATATCCCCCATTTACAAGCCTTGGAGACATTTGAACGGCTTCAGAGTGTAGAGAAATCGGTGATTACTTGGCGCCTTTGGCTAAGTTTAAACCAAAGGAAAACTTACATCCCAAATGGGAATTCTCATCGAGAGTTGGCGCCTACATTTTAGCTCACATGGGATTCTGATGTGCTCTTGCACAATGCATGTTAACGTGAAATTTTCCAGTAAAATCAAGCATTCTAGGTACAACCAATGCTTTTGGCAGCAAAGGTGAAATGTCTAGACTTGCTAACGACTTTCTGATATACCCTCTGCTACGACCCTTCACCTCAAAACCCTCTGACTGCAGAATCGGCCCTCGAAAGCGTCACAACAATTATCAGAGCAGTTCCGAGGAGACAGCTAACAAGACGTACCTGCAAGATTTTGGCAACCTTCAGCGCATCATTCCGATTAACCATCTCTTTGATATGTTTTGCCGAAGCCAAAGTGAAGTCGATAATGACCACAACTCCGTTAACCTGCCATGAGGGCTCGATGAAACTGCGTTCTGCGTTCATGTGTATCAGACGACGTGCCTCCAGCATGGATAGGGCGGACAAATCCCAGCCTGTGACAAAAGGGTGCTTTTAAGGTTAAAAGTTTCAGTGAATATATCAAGTGGTGATAAAAATAAGGAACATTGAATAACAAAAAGCATTCTAAAGTATGAAGACCAAGATGGTGTGGCCTTTTGTATGGTCACAGTCTCCTTTCGTTGCATAGAAGTTGTATGATCTTGTTTTCGCAACTTGATCATATTGGCAGGAGGACCTTGAGGAACGCACCAAGTCCGGAGTCCATTGTAGGCATGTTCATTTCCAGAGTCGGACCGTGGACGTGGTACATTTCTAGACGTTTCGTCGGCATAATCACTGAGCCTTGCCATACTTAGCACTCCATTACAACTCGACAAAGGGACAAGTGAAGCCAATCCTTTGACCAATTGTCTGCAAAACAATTGTCATATCTCTCCTTCTGTCCTGGGCTATTCACCAATCCCATATCCTCGTATCATTCGTTTATTATCACAACTTCTAAATTGATAATATTAATGTGATATGTTATGTCCTTTTTAGCTAATTGCATGAGAACTCTCTAAACACCCCCTCACCCCACAATCCTCTTCCTATAGGTCTTATGAGAGTCTCCCTCTTGGCCCTTGGGATCCGCCTCCTACCTTCCTAACTCAGGTATTTAACTCTACCCCTACCACCCTTTTTCTATTACTCGAAGCGCTATTTCCCACACTGTCTCAATCCTTTGACGGCACACATACTCCCGTTTCACTGAGTAGGCCCCTAAAATCAGCATTCTCAAGCTGGATGGGCGACGAACTTGAGCCTAAAGATCCCGAGTAATTCTCACGTTCAGGCCATTGCTTCATGGACCAAGTCTATGATCAAACATGTTTGTTGGGCTTACTTCCATTTCGAGTAGAAGTGTTTGGTGAAGAGATTCGAAGGTCGGTTCCACCA